CAATCTCTTCTTCTAAAAGGTGAAACTGTACAAGCACAAGGCCATTTGTGATCTCACTAAGTGTGCATTTTTGTCACATGGATGTAACATTCTAAATAGGTTCTAAGATACTCAGTTCTAACAACATTACTGCAGATTGGTTGCCCTCTTTCACACACTTTTCCTAAAAGAAGGGAACCAATCTCTTCTTCTAAAAGGTGAAACTGTACAAGCACAAGGCCATTTGTGATCTCACTAAGTGTGCATTTTTGTCACATGGATGTAACATTCTAAATAGGTTCTAAGATACTCAGTTCTAACACCATCACTGCAGATTGGTTGCCCTCTTTCACACATTTTCCTAAAAGAAGGGAGGGCTAGATATATTCACAATGGATGGCAATACTAATTTCTCCCCATGTCTAGCAATAGTTATTTTATCTATTAACTAAGCTATATAGACAAACTAGGCTTAAGAATAGCACAACTTAAACCTCAACAGGCTGATACAGAGAAAACTTTACATTCCCCAAAGAAGAATTCATAGTTAGTCAGACTCATGTAGGGTTTGCAGAGTGCTAATCCTGATGGGGTAAGCAACAGTCTGAGCAGGTGGCACCTACTTAACATGTTCAGCTTGGAGCCACCTAAAACACACTTAGGCTGTGGTCACACACACACTAAATAATCCACTGTCAATCCACTTTCAGACTGAACTGGCAAAATCCAATTGGAAAGTGCACTAAAAGCGGATTGAAAGTGAACCATGGCCTTAAATGTGCCTGTGACACACCCTGAGCACCTGAATCAGTTGACTTGGATCAGCCTGGCAAAGAAATCACACAACCTGCTAGTTTGCAGAAATATTTACTAGCTCACTTGCCCACACATCTCTTATTAGCTGTTTATGGCTTAAAAGGGGTGAAAATATAATGCCGTGTGAAGTTTTCCTTCCTGGTTACTTGCGGGGAATTCTTACTTGCCTCAATAAAATAGGCAAGTGGCTAGCCAGACACTGATGCTAATGTTTGTATGTATGGCAATAGGTTACATCTAACAATTCAAAATTAGATCGTATAACATTCATAGCTCCAGTTTGTCATCTGACTTCATAGAAAAATATGATTACAGCCAAACCTATTTTATTTCAACTGATGAAGTGCATTAAGTGCAACGTTGACTGCAGGAGGATTAAAGCTAACCTTTTATCTGATAACGAAGACCTATACAATATTTATATTAAAATTGTTTATGTTATTAATGTCGGAAGGAGTAGGATTTATCTTGAAAGCAGAGAGATCTCATCCCAGCACTATTATATCTGAAATAATATGAACAAACAGAAATTGATTAAAAATTAAGACATTCTTCTAAAGCATTATCCATCAGTGTTTACTAGAAGATAACTACAGTCATATTGAGATCTACCATCTTTGTACCGGGATATTTAAATGAAACAGAACAGTCATTTACATATTTTGTAGCATACATTCTATTACACAGTTTCTTTAAGCCATTAAGTTCTCCCTTTAAAGGCATAAGGGGAATCTTGTTTCCCCCAGTACTGATAGATCTAGAAGTAATCAATGTTAACCCTTATTAAAATGGCAAATTAACATTATAAAAAAGAATACATTATCTTTGGGGTAATAATTGTGTTTTACATGTTTCCAGCTACACATCCCACCCCAACATCAAACTGTCTCCACAACTGAGAGGAGGGGGATTGCTATTACTATGCTTCAAAATTAAAGAGTACATGGAACAGACCCCTTCCCCAAACTAAACTGGTAAATTAACACTATACAAAACAAAAAAGGATACATTATCTTTGTGTCAAGGACACTGAGCATATCTTGCATATCCAAAGCTTACAGCAGCAAAAATTCCCCTCCTCCTTTTCTCCCAAGTTACATGGCACATCTGTTCTATATACCATAGGTTCTTCTCCTGTGCACTTGTATAGTAGCCCCAGTGGTTACTGTTGGTCCAGCAAAGGAGGTAGGACCAACCTGAAATACTGAAGCAAAGGGAATTTGCTTGCACTCCCTTGCACTGATGCTCCAACATGTGTACCAAACACCTTGTGACACTGTGCAGGAAAGGAAAACATTGGGCTAGAAGTGATGCATCCAGGCAGTTTCTTGATGATGGACTTGGCTCAAATCAGTAGAGTTCATAACACAGAGAAGCTGTCTCCAGAAAAAGGAAGAGACAAATCGGTGGCATTGAAAGCAGTTTTAAAATAAGTCTTCCCAAAGCAGCAAATTTCTCCCTAACTTCAGACAGTTAGCAGTTCCTTTATTCTTTTTTACTGGGTAAGTAAATCATATGATCAATACTATCCTCAGCAGATGGTAGCTGCAGCAAAATTAGCTATAATTCTTGACAGAAATATTTTCAGATATTAGAAGGCCAGCAGAACATTATGACTCAGTGCAGTTCCATGAAAGCCATACTGCTGCAAAGTCTGCAGGAAAAAAAGTTAGCCATCTTTATGAGAGTCAATAAGTAATAACTCATTTTACCAGGCAGAGCTTTGTATGATATAGCGACAGCACAACCTACTGATAGCTGCAATCTCTGACAATCCTTCCAGGACAGTTTAGAAAGTATAGAACTTGAAACTTTTTACACTGTTTCTACAGCAGGTTGAATACAATGAATTCATGAGGCTGGATTTCCCCTCCACCTTTCACTTCCCCCACAAGCCCTCCGGCTCCCTATTCCAAATCCTCTGCTGAGGGTCAGGGGACCCTTTTAAATATAGTGTACCATGGCACAGGGAACTGTAGTAACCATGCCATAACAGGGTGAAATCAGCCACCTCCTGAATAAATGGAAAGCTTGTGGGATCCAACCCAGCTTTCTGAATGATGAAAAGATAATTTTTTTGCCATGGACCGACAAAAACACTTGATAAGGTACCATTTGAAAAGATAAAGGGGATGCAGTATTGGACACAACACTGCAACTGTCTGAGGATGCAGCTTTCAAGTCTTCAACTATTCCCCATGAGTTTTGTTATGGAATAATACCCACATAACACGTTAAATCTTAATTTTAAGATAACTTTTGTTTTCAGCCAGGCAGGAAAATGTGGTGCAACACTACTGAACAGAGAGTAATATGGAACAGGATTAGGAGGATATAGAACAATCTGAAACTAAACACAGTTCATAAAATGGATGGAAAGAGAATTCTATTGATAGTCCAAACCCTTTCCATTGGTTTATCCACTTAAATCAGTAGGCCTGCATTTGGTTCTATTTTAATAGTGTCTCCTGAAAAGGAAGCATTATAATCATGACAACACATTTAGTTTACCTCCTGAGCATGCTCTTTGTAGACCTGCAGTGGACCTGTGGGTTGTGTCGTGTCCCAGATTTGCAAAGATCCATCCCCACTGCAAGTGACCAGCACATGTTCATTGTTCTCACTCCACGTCACATCAAACAGGCCATCATTCCAGTCAAAACTAAATGAAAGAAACCAAAATAACCATCGATAAGAAATTATTACATAAGAATTCATTTAACACAATTAATATACTACAGTTTTCAGTCTAAACTTTTGAATATGCTAATAAAAACAGTGCTCAAGAGTGCAAAGATCTGGGTTCAAAAGTTTGCTCATCCGTGAAGTGTCACCAGCCAACATTATCTTTCCACTTAATCTATCTAGATCAGAGGTCACCAGTTTTAGTTTCTTGGAGGAAGGGCAGGATTAAAAAAAATGGGATATGTGACCTTCTGAAGGAAGTTGTTAAAGAACACATTAGGTATTTATTTTTTGTAATATACAGCAGCTGTTGCACAGATTTTCCTTGCAGCTATTTTTGACTTACAAAGTTTCATGAACCTGCAAACGCTAGAAGCTCATTTCTTCAGCCACTAGGAAACACATTCACTTCTTCATGGCCATCATGGTGCAGCAGACTACAGGCAGCCCATAGGCAGATGTAGCAATACAATAAATTAGCAAATTAACAACGAGAAAAGCATATATGCTTAAAGTAGTTCAGACTGAGGGAAACTCAAGGCTACGCCAAACAAATACCCACTCCTAGATAACATGAGGATCAGTTGCAAACTGCGCTGCATTCCCTCCTGCAATTCTGCCTTAGAACAGAGGGTAGTAAGTTAGAAATACAAGCCTATTTACTAACAATCATTGGTTAATGCATTCAGGTGATTTCCTTCTAGGGGTCAAGAACAAAGGAAGAATCTCCATTACTATCTGTGTGTCTGTTGTTGCAAGCATGTAGTCTTAAGTGTTTGTTGTTTTTTAGATTTTCCTGTGTACCCTTCCCTTTAGAAATAAAGATTTTTACATGGAATGAAAATGCCTCCTCTCCAGTGCACAAAGATCCACTGCAAACTCTGAATATTTAACTATTTTTACAAATTTTCCAACACTCATGAACCCAACTTCTTCTGGGTGCCCAAAGCCAGATTCTTCACAGCTGCCTCCACTTCCATCTCTCTCTCTCCCTGTATTCTGCTCTCCTACACCCCTCTAGAGAGATGCACAGACTGTATATACCTTTCACCGCTTGGGCTGGTTAAAAAACCTCTAGGTTGAAGATTTGATCAGGCATTCCATGAGAGCTATTGCCTCACGCCCTGCAGTCTACAAACCTTTGTTGCCTCCAGAATGCTTCTATGGTTCTTGTGTTCTCTGTGGGTGATTAGTGTCTTCCCATCCACCGCTACGTCCAAGCTGTTTACTACATGTTTTAGAATCTTTTCAGTTATACACTAGGAGAATATGTGTTCCGGACTATACCAAACTGACTTTGGTGTGTGTGTGTACGTGTGTGTGTGTGTGAAGCAACAATCAGAAAACCAACAGCAAAGCCAGATATATAAGAGCAACAATTTAAAATTCCCACAGCATAGTTATCAGAAAACAAAAAAAGCCAGAAAGGGGGGGGGGGAAACCCTAACAAGAGTCCTGGTAAAACAGAAATGCTGTCTAAAGAGCAGCATGCTTGGGGAAGGAAATGAGATTCCACAGTCTAAGCACCACAACTGAAAAAAATCATTTCTGATGTTCACCCTCCTTGTTTTTGCAGCTGAGTCATACACAGCAGAGCCTCAAAAGCTGATCGTAACTGGAGGAGGAGGAGACTGGATTTATACCCCACCCTTCACTCAGAGACTCAGAGTGGCTTACAAACTCCTTTCCCTTCCCACAACAGACACCCTGTGAGGTAGATGGGGCTGAGAGAGCTCTTTCCAGAACTATCCTTGAGAGAACACCTCTGACAGAACTATGGCTTGCCCAAGGTCATCCAGCAGCTGCAAGTGGAGGAGTGGGAATCAAACCCGGTTCTCCCAGATTAGAGTCCACGCACTTAACCACTACACCAAACTTTTTTTATTTTAATCCCTCAACTCTATATTTTGCTTTCAATGCAGGCCCATAATGGATAATTTATACCCTATGCTATACCTCAGGTAGCTTCCAACAGCCAAACAGAAAACACCAAAAACACAGAGCAACAATCAGAAAACCAACAGCAAAGCAACAATAAGAGCAACAATTTAAAATTCCCACAGAATAGTTATCAGAAAACAAAAAAAAGCCAGAAGGGGGGGGGAACCCTAACAAGAGTCCTGGTAAAACAGAAATGCTGTCTAAAGAGCAGCATGCTTGGGGAAGGAAATGAGATTCCACAGTCTAAGCACCACAACTGAAAAAAATCATTTCTGATGTTCACCCTCCTTGTTTTTGCAGCTGAGTCATACACAGCAGAGCCTCAAAAGCTGATCGTAACTGGAGGAGGAGGTAGAAATGATTTGGAAAATATTTGAACACCTTGTCTTAAAACATTTTATTCATCATGTTAAAATAATCCATAATCAATTTTTTCCCTTTTCTTTTCTTTTTTCAATTTTTCCAATTTTTGGAAAAAAGAAACAAAAAAACTTCAGGAAAAAACAAGAAAAAATGGTTTTTTCCCGAATTTTCTCGTTTTTTTTCCGGGCCTTCACATCTCTCATCCAGCAGCTGCAAGTGGAGGAGTGGGAATCAAACCCGGTTCTCCCAGATTAGAGTCCACACACTTAACCACTACACCAAACTTTTTTTATTTTAATCCCTCAACTCTATATTTTGCTTTCAATGCAGGAGAAAAATGATAGCATGAATTCAAATTGACCCCATCTTCTTCATTCAACTAGACTGATTACTGGTAATTAAAGGCAATTATAGGCTTGGATTTATTTATTCAAGAGTAGCAAGTTGCTCAGGACTGATAATCGAAAACAGAAATGTGTTTCACGGCAGCATTTACTGCTTTTAATATGAAACACAATGACTTCTTGTTAGACTTGTCACTCTTTTGTATACAGACCACAGCCCTATCTCATGTTTACTCAGAAGCAAAACCCACCAAGCCCACTGGGGACTTACTTCCAAATATGTTTTATATGTTTTATATTGGCTTATGCCTCCTTGTAAGCCGCCCTGAGCCCGCGTAGCGGGGAGGGCGGGGTATAAATTGAATTTATAAAATAAAAATAAATAAGCATGCTAAGAACTGTAGTCTTAGAAAAGACAAAACATAATGCTCACAATCAAGGGAACATTAGCTGTGTTTAAACTTCTTTGATTTGATAAAGAGAGCAATCCTAAGCAATCTATGCAGAATCCTGCTCAGGTCCTTCAAACAAACTTCTGTCAACAAAAACTAGAAAATTATTTTAAATAAAACTTGCCAGAACTCAAAATGTGAACAAGACCAGACAATGTGTTTCAGGAGTTACGCTCAACCTACACACCATATGCTGCCCTTCTATTTTAATCTGTTACAACATACTGGAAATACATCGTTACACATAGGAACTATCAGGAAGATGTCCCATCTTTTCTGATTTTAAACCTTGAAAGTACAAATTGTGTGTATTACTCCAGAATTTTTGTAAAAGTAGCATGGATCCTTGCAGCATCTCTTTTTGACAGGATTATGATATTTTTGTCTTCTTATATCGGAACACACCAATACAAAATATCAAAGTTATGGTTTAAAGTACTTCTGCAAAAGTATAAAACAGTACTACCTCCTGAACAGGTGAATCCCAGCATCACTTTGTTCCAATACTACTACTGTTCCACTACCTGAAACAAAAGACAGGAAACTATGTTATATAGGCATCATGACTTATGGCTACCCCACCCGGGGTTTTCAAGGCAAGAGACGTTCAGAGATGTTTTATCATTGCCTGCCTGTGTCATGACCCTGGACTTCCTTGGTGGTCTCCCATCCAAATACTGACCAGGGCCAACAATGCTTAGTTTCTGAGAGCTCACAAGACTAGGTTAGCCTGGGCCATCCAGGTCAATCTAGTATACAGGGTGCTCAAGCATGGACTAAGCCGGCGTCAGCTGGGAGGGCGGGGTATAAATCTGATAAATACATTAGTGAAACTTCAGGAGTAACAGGACTTCAGATACAGATAGCCAACTAAACCCCTCTTCCTAAACAACCCCACAGTACGGACTCAAAGCAACATCATTAGAGATGCTGCAAACGTCTCTGTAAACATGTTCAGTGGTTGAACTTAACTGTGTTCCAAAGTAGCAGTTAGAGGTGAGCTAATCACTTGGTCTGTTTGGTTCATGGTGACTAGCTGTGAATGCCTGCTGAGCCGGCTGAACCGGTTTGCATCAGGTTTCCCCAAAACTGCACATGATCCAAACTGATCAGCAGCCATTGGCATAACTAAGGACTACTTAAATAAGCACCATTTTCAGATTACTGCGCTTGTTGAACAAAAAAAAAGAGAGAGAGAGAAATGTAATTATTGTTTGTTTAATATTTTGAAGTTCCTTTAATAAAAATTATTGTTAAAAAAACCTTAAATAAGCACCAAAGGGCAGGAATTTTTTGAAACATATGATTTATGATGACTGATTTGTATGATTTGCAAGTGATCTATTGTTTATTTAAACAACTGCTTGCTGAGCAGAACAGTTATGCAGCAAGGATGGGGACGTAGCAGACCTCAGTTAGGCAATGTGAGAACCCATGTGCACAAAAAGCGTATTGCACAGTATTGCACAGTTAATAAGGAATACAAGGAAACAACCTGTCAAACACCCATAAACAGATCAATGAATTATCGAACTGATCATCAAAAAATCATATCTGTTTGCAGCTGGTCAACAAGGCACAAGCCAAGCCAGTGAGTGTTCGTGCATCCCTACACAGAGTTCTTTTCACCATGTCTGGAATGGACTTGCAAGCCCTGTTCCCCCAGGTCCCAGGAGGTCAGAAGATCACATGACCATCCTATGTATCTACCCAATGACAACTCTTTTCTGAAGTTTATCAAAATCAGTATGGGTAGTGATTGCTGCCACCAGCAAATCTGGGAGTATCTCCTGCCAGATGAATCTGCGCATCTAGCACTCTGTGTCTACAGTCTGCACTGCTGTTTAGAGTTTCCACTTAGTTGCTACATTTCCTGCTTTGCTCTGACAAGCTACAGCAGGGATGACATATCACACCTTTGCAACTTCAAGCTATTATGAGCTCACCCACTGCCCCTCCCCTTTACCACTCCTTGGATAGCAAGACTGAATGGGCATGGTATATTGACAGATATCACAGGAGATTGGATTTATACCCTGCCATTCACTCGGCATCTCAGAGTGGCTTACAAACTCCTTTCCCTTCCCCTCCCCACAACAGACACCCTGTGAAGTAGGTGGGGCTGAGAGAGCTCTGACAGAATTGTCCTTGAGAGAACACCTCTGACAGAACTATGGCTTGCCCAAGGTCATCCAGTAGCTGCAAGTGGAGGAATGGGGAATCAAACCCGGTTCTCCCAGATTAGAGTCTGTGCACTTAGCCACTACACCAAACAGGCTACTAAACCTTTTGACCATTTGGCCAGAGCTATCTGCATTCGAGCTTTTCAGTACTGGGTATTTGGGGGAGGGATGAATCATTCTTTTGACTTGTCTCCTCTGCCAGGCACAACTTTGCCTAGAGGCTCCAGTAACGTGGACACAGTGTAAACCCAATTACTGAAATATAAATGTGATCTATGAAGCGGAGGGCATTTCTCCACACTATGATACAAATAATTATGTATTTTACAAACAAATACATGTAATCATTTCATATTATGTAGCAAAACGGAAGGTACTTCTTACAGTCCAAAAGGGTCAACAAAAACTAGCAACAATGACTCCCCAACACTGTAGTCGAGTAAGAATCAAATTCTTGTGGATGCTGACAGTCATGCAAGAAGGTGAAGTGAAGGGGGGGGGGAGTTTAACAAAAGGGATCATACCGTGATAGAGTCTGAGCCACCTCTAGGGCACTCTCTACCCAAAATATTCTGTTCCACAAACTCAATGGAAATGAACGGGATCATTGCCATGTTCACAACCACACACACGCACGTCTCCTAGCCATTGGAACCAACACAGGAAAACTTCCCAATTAATTTGGTCTTTAATATTTATAGTCAAGAGCAGGGGTCCCCAACGTGGTGCCTGTGAGCACCATGGCACCTACCAACATCTTTCCTGGTGCCCAACAAGTGCTTTCAGAAGGTGACTGGAGCTAAGCAAGCAGGACTTCTGATTGGTTGTGCAGATTAAAAGGCATCCCATTAGAAAGAGTTTCTACCTGAAGTGTTAAAGGGTAATTACTATTGAAGTTATATGTAACCTTGCTCCTATGGCAAGCATTTTGCAGTTGGGCCCACCACCCTTTGCCAAGATTCCAAAGATAGATACCCTCACTCTCAAAAAGGGTGGGGACCAGTGTTCCCTCTAAGCTGAGTTAGTGTGAGCTAGCTCACACTCTTTTAGCCTCTGGCTCACACATTTTCCTCTTAGCTCAGAAGGATGGCTCCAGAGCAATGTTCCCTCTAAGCTGAGTTAGTGTGAGCTAGCTCACACTCTTTTAGCCTCTGGCTCACACATTTTCCTCTTAGCTCAGAAGGATGGCTCCAGAGCAATGTTCCCTCTAAGCTGAGTTAGTGTGAGCTAGCTCACACTAACTCAGCTTAGAGGGAACATTGGTGGGGACCTCTGGTCAAGAGAAACAAGCTCAAAGCTCATGCTGCTATTTACTGCATCTAATACAATATGAAATGAGATAACAGGTACAGCAGCCTTTTAAATAGCGAGCTTTTTAAAAGCTCATCCAAATGCAAACCCCTGCCTGTCAAAAGCACCACGTATGACAGGTCCCAGTTTTAACGCCCACTCTTAGTGATCTCAAAATCTGGTAAAAGGAAAAATTATGGGTATGGCTAGTTTCAATCCTTTTGCTTATGGTGGGACCCAACAACAATATTAACAGTATAAGATGCAAACTCCACTTGCTCACTAGGCCTTCTGTTCTGCATAAGAATGATACTATAATCACCTGCTGTAAGGTAGTTCTTCCTCATACTTAGGGGGATACATACAACTACATGATACATTGTTTTGGAAGCAAACTGTGAGATAATTCCAGGATGTGAGATAAATTTGTTATGTCAACAGGTAAGCATTCAGGATGGGCACAGAGTCAAGCACAAGTACCTCACAAAGAACAAAAAATACTCTACCAGATTACCATCAGAGGCCTCTGGATAAATGTTTAGGACTGGACATAAGCAGTTCAGTAGATTCTATAATAACTAATACATGGCAAGTGCCACTGAAACCTTATTTTCTCCTGAACAATGTTACAAATGAGCTGCCACAGTATATTTCATATGCTAGGTTACACAGATGTATTGTATATGCTTTTCTATAAATGTGGCTGGATAATATCATAATACTCCAAGGGTACACTTGCAGATTTCTGACCTGGGCTTCTCCCACATGGAAGTTTTCCTCTGGTTTGGCTTTCCATCCATACAACACCCCATTCTAATATCCTTTTTT